ACCATGAGGAAGAGGAGAACATGGGAAGAGGGGGGAGGAAGCTATGAGAGTGAGAAGGGAAGAAAAGGAAGGATGCAGACGTCATGAGAAAGCAGAAATTTTGAGTCAGGTGTAGATTAGAAAAAAGGACATATGATAGGTAGGATTTTAGTTGTGGGGGGATGGTAGAGGAGGAAGGGAGGGAGAAGGGAACTGGGATCGTCATGTAATTCAATCTTATTTGTAAAAACAAACAAGAGAGTCTAGTTTTACAATGTGGAACTGAGAGCTCTCTAAAGATGAAAAAAGAAAAAAGAAATATACCCTTGCAAATATTTTTGGCTGAGTGAAATTTTAGACAGGTAAGTGCACTCTTATTCACTGCCTTCCAAGGAGGGAAGGTACATGTCCAAAGTCACATGGCTAGCGATAGAGCTGGACTGCCGATAAAATTTTCAAATTTTCAAGCCATAAAATTTTAGAAATCACAAATTGTGTATGCTAAGGAAATGTAGGAAATGTAGATCATGGCATATTTTCTTTCTACATCCCTGTGACACCCCATGTTCAGAAGCACTTTATCAGACTACTGTGTTGAAATGCAATGCAACTGTTAATATTATGGCAGAAACTAGCTCAGAACTTTTCTGAATTACTGCGCTATGCAAGTAAATCTTAGAGCAGGCACTGCTATCTCCCAAAGGAAAATTCTTAGAAATCATAGCTACTCAAAACATTTGTCAAATGAATGAGTACAACTTGTTTTTCTTCTGAGAAAGACTAAATATCAATAAAAATGGCTGTTAAAATCAAGGTCTGTGGAGCTCATTTGGGATGTAAATCAAATACCCAAAAGAAAGTGATAAAAGGAATCCTTTGACAAACATACAATATGAAAAGCCAAAGAGATAAGAAGGCAGAAAAGACTAGAGTCATTTTAAAACTAGTTCTACAGATAAGAACTATGAGCTTTCCAGGTAGTGAAATGAAATGAGGAACTGGAACAGTAATATTCTAGGTAGACACAACTTGCATTAGTGAATGGTTCTAAGAGATCAAAGAGGCCACAAAGCTCTTAGTTTTGACTGATGTAGAAAAGTATGGATGAGAATCAAAAATAAGATTAGAACAAGAAGGGTCAGTAAAATCATGTATATGCTGGCCTGACTTCTTCACCTGGGAAAACTCTGGATAATTATAAATGTACAATTTTCACTCTTAAAAGCATTTCCATCTGAATGATAAAGCATATGGTCTCCCTATGTGCAGGAAGAAACCAGATGACACAATCATTTACCAGAGAAATGATAAGGGTTTTCCAGTTACATATTAATTTAATGCACTATATATTCAAGTAATTGTGTCTCTTGTGCTATAATTGTAAAGGGTAGGAACAAAAATTAAACTGTGTGTCTCATAGAAATATCTTTCCCTTTACCTTCTTAAATGATGAGAAGTCTGTGGGAATAAGTATGCTTTAAGACAATTGTCTAGTTTAACACTTCCTCAACACCTCTTTTATAGAGAATTAGTCTCAGATAAAACCAACCAAAAAGTTCAGTTAATAGGATGAGGTTGTTAGAAGCAGATATCCAAATCACCCTAGTTGGAGCAAATGCAATGACAGGTGGTACCCAATTAAAACTGTCACACATATACCATTACATATTTGTATGAACATGGGATAAAAATTTAACTAGGAAACCAATTACCATCAGCATGTGCTTAACATTTTGATTACTAAAAATAAGTTGTTAAAAGCACAATTACCTCAATTTTGGTTAAGAGGTCTTGCAGTTCTCCTGACTCGTTCATTGACAAAATTTTCTCAGCACCCTATTAACAAGAGGGGTAGGGAAAAAAGAAAATCCATCGTGTTAGTATTTGAAAAGTCGAAGTCATAGCCAGGAAAGGCTAACTCACAAAATAATGAACACAACCTCCCGACTCAGCTATGAGTAAACTTAGAGCCACAGACCAGCAGGTTTTTGTCACATACCCAATCCTGTGTCAAGGGTCAACTTAGGCACTAAGAAGGCTGCCAAAAGGAACAAGCTCTGGGAAGTACTAGCTGTCACATCAGGTCCAGACAGGGATGCATACAGCACACCCATGGAGCCAGGTCTTTCACCTGGTGAAGGGAGCTTTGAGCAAATCCCCAGCCTGGCCTCTTAGTCATCCTGGACAGGGCCCTCCTTACAGTCATGCATGTACCAGTAACAACTAAGAAAATCATCATCATTGACTCAGCACTATTGTCAGACAGCATACATCATCTCCTTTGATACAGTAGACTATGCTATTAGCAGGTATTTGCTCCTAGTGAAATTAAAATATAATCTCAAGGTCTCCTAGAGAGAAAGAAGAAAAGCAGTTGGAACATAGGGAGGGGAATTGCTCCAGAGCTGATGTTACTATGAGAATAGGAGTCAGGTAGGCACTTTCCTACACAGTCAACATGGTTCTTTGAACTAACCCAGTTGTCCATCCTTTCTATATTCTTCTTAGCACCCCTCTACTCAGCTTCTCAGAGGACAGGGACAGAAGGAGGACAGTTTGGGCAATTATTACTAATGAACGGCTGAGTCCACATCTACCTCACTCACATTGTCCCTGCACTGCTTAGAGTAAGAGTGCAACCCACTTTTGCTTAAAGAACAAGTTGGGGCAGAAGCGCAAAACATATTTTTATATCCCTATTTGTGGTAAGCACAGCAAATACTCATTTAAAGAAATAATAAGATCTTAGTTTCCATGGGACTCAAAGTATATTTTCTGTGAATACATATAAAAGAACTATCCACTTGCACAATGAGATATTAATGCTAAAAGAATGATGTGTTGAGAAATCCCATCATGGGCTAAAGATCTGCTCACTAAGACTGCAGAATGCTTTCTGGGGTTGATGGCATTTGGTCATTTGATCACTTGTTCAGGTGACAAGAAAGTGTGACTTTTTTAAGGAGGTACAAGCTATTTCCCAATGTTGCCTAGGAACCTCTAGCCCTTGTTTCATTTTACTTTAGTCTACCTTCTAACACCTAGCAACATCAGAAATGTCAAGTCAATATATTAAAACCCACTACAGACGAATGCACAGGGAGACAGAAAATGCACAGAACCTAGAAGGCAGATTATAGCCATTTATTTGTTGATAGTTTCACCAGGCAAAGAGACAGATGTGACAGTCAACATAACACGGGTGACGGAAGCCCATCGCCAAAACATTAAAGGTAGAAACTTAGAACCAGTAATATTTTAGTTTTGTAGCTTTCCATTTCTTTTCCTGAGCTAACCAGGCTAAAATGGGAAAATCCTCTGGGGAATTTAGCATGAGAACTAAGGCAGCAAAGAAAATATACACCTCATTTTTCTCAATTGAAAGGAAATGTGCAGCAATGACAGCAAACAAAATGAATGCCCCATAGAAGCTATGGCCACTAGGCTTCCCAGCTCTTTTCTGAGCAATGCATTTTGACTCCATCAGTTGTGTAGAATACAATATCAGCTGAGAAAGCATCTACTTCATTGCCCTTAAATACATGGAATTTTCTTTTCATCAGCCAAATAATTTCCGGAGCACAGATTCTATCTCATAGAAAATGGCTAAGCTTTGCTCCTATCAAGATCTGTGCAAAAAATGCATAATACCAATTGGCAAGATAATTGGATGTCTAGTGGACAGGTAGTGTACCAAGTGCTCAAGATTTCGAAAAGGTTTCCCAGTTACAGGAAGCAGACAGCTGAATACTTGCTGCCCTCCATCACCTGTTGCAACCAAAAGTCTCCACCATTCCCCCTCAACCAGTGCTCAGAGCTGTACCAGGAAGTCAGTTTCTAGTGTCTGTATCATGAACTGAACCAAAATGGTAACCAAAACCTCTGGCTCCTTACTGGGCCCTGTTTTTGACCCTTTTACTTGGAGTGGGGGTGGACAAGAGCATTCTAGGATCCCTCTGTCTGATCTGAAGAGCAGCAGCCAGAATGAAGATTTCCTTCCATGCTGAGGTTCAGAGCACTTATCACAGAGGATGCTCATTGTTCCACTCTTCATGCATTTGAGTATTCCAAAAGTCTCATTCACTCCCTTTTTTCAGTCAAATTAATCCAAGTTATTAATTGGCTTACCAAAGATACCTATGTGTCCACAACAGAGAGTATATCTATCACCTTAAACATTGACACTCTTGATAACCTTTTTTTCTGGTTGGGTATTTGGCTAAAAGTATCAGAATTTGACACTTTTCATCTACAACACCACCATTTAATCAGAAGGTACCAGAAATTAACCATACAGTTATGTGGTCCAGTTTACCAAAACTTCCAGGATTATTTTTATCAGTATTTGCCCTTATTTTCATTGACTTGGAGTCATTCTTCCTTAAAATTAATTTAGTCCTGAAAAGAATGATAATAGGATAGTAGTAATATATAAGGTAGATTATAGTTACATAGTCAATGCTGCAAAGTAACCATACTTGTCACAAACTTTAAAAGAAAAGGAACTAAATTTTGAAAAAGAGTTTGCACAGAGGGAAGGGGAGAGAGAGAAAGAGGAGCTGTTGTTCCCCTCTGCCATGAAGGCTTGCTTATCACTGAGAAAACAGTATCTAAACCTGAGTCTGGGAACTATGGGGGGTTAGGACATGCTGTTCACTGAATTCCAAGGAAGTTCAAGTGAGTAAATGGCACTTTGCATGACAAGGACCCCACAGCCACAATGATTTTGCCAAGAAATTGAAGAGAACTACTTAAGTTTTGTCCATTTCAGCACTGTTTTATTTAGTTATTTAGACTGCACTGTATATGCCAGAATAGGATCTGTCTCACAAATTTTAATGTATATATACATACATATTTATTAGGTAACACATAAATGCCTATGTTGTTTGGGTTTTGTTCATATTTACTTATTTATACCACTTCATCTTACGAAGAACTCAACTTAAGTAACTCCTATACCACAGAATAATAAACAAATATTGAATAAGATTCCAAGAAAAAGAAAATGTAGCAAAGAAGAAGAAAAGAGGTCCCTAAATGGCAGCTATGGTTAAGGCTTACACTTGATTCTCAATTAGATCCTCAAAAGAAGCAAAGTCTGTCTTAGCACAGGAGTCCAGACACCAACTCAGATAAAGGAGAAATGGCTCATACAACAAGTAATATCCTTGCTTTTTACTGGCCATAAAAATTTTGCTTTCGATAAATGCTATTAGAGAAATTGCTCTTGAAACCAACCAGTAAAACTTTTAGCCTCCTGCTAGCTTTAAAGAGGACTGTGTTATTTCTTACTTAATTGACTCCCTGCCATGTATTTGTCTCCATTTTGTTGCATGCTCCACACTGCTCGTTAAATGGTCTTCTCGTGACTAACATAAAACCCACACTCTCAGCATGGCCCACAAAGGGCAGCATTGCTGGTTGACCAGTTCCTCCAGAGCTGTTCCTTCCTACTGTAAGTTCTGAATATCTCCCTTCCAGCCTTCGTTGAATTTGACACGCAGGCCCCATCCACAGTCCGTGCTTTCTTTTGTCCTTCTAATCACTCAAGACTAGAAAAACATCAATACATTATGCGAACCCCACTAAAATTGTAAATCTCAATAAAGCACCCTTGAGTTCATTTCTCAGGAAAACCAGTCATCCTCAGACCACAGTTACCTCATTGCACAGCAAGCTGTGACCACATCCTTAGGTGTACAACGATCTATGTACCCTCAACAGCTCATGAATATTTACTGAATTATTTACTTTCAAAATTGTGCAGTAGATACAGCAGGTATTTCTTATAATCAATACCATCTCAACAGAGGTAAGCAAACAAGGGAAATATCACATTGTGTATTTGTGAGGTGCAAGAGATCATGCTAATGTGGCTTCATGAAAGAATGTCTGATGAACAGAAAAACATACAGATGAACACTGGGGAGCCACTCCCAGGTCACTCTCTGGAGAGGACCAGGAGGCTAGGACTGGGAGATTCTGCCTGGTAAGTAAACCTTCTGATATGTAATCAGGAGAGCAGATGGCACATTTGGCACTAAAAGAGCTCAACTAGAACCAAGCTCCATCCTTGCCAAAGGATGTGCTCAATTAGTGTTTGTTGCTATGAGTGCTATGCCCTAGTTGCCAAAGGATGTGCTCAATTAGTGTTTGTTGCTATGAGTGCTATGCCCACCAGAAATGGGAGCTCACATCCACTCTGCTTGGAAAGAAGCCACCTGGTCCCTGCTGATGAAGTGAGTATCTCCTCTAAGACTCAACTCTGGATCTACTCCAGTGTGTGGCAAGCTCCATGGCACCTCTGGAGTTGTGCATCAAACACTCAGACCTGGAACCTGTTCAAAACAGGTGTAGTAATATTGCACCAGTGTCAAAAACACAGCAAAGGCTCCTGTGGGTATTTTAATTAAAAAAAAAAACATGGTTTTCCTATGTCCCTGCAGGAACAGTTAACTGCAGAATTAACTAAAATAATTGACTTATTGAGCAATTATGTAACACAGACCCTTGGGTGTCAGAAAATGCCTGCCAGAGACAATGTCTTTAGCTTAATGTAATTAGTGTTGAACCACTATTTTCAGTGCAGTTGAACAGTGCAATTTTCCAGGGAGGTCAATCCTGACTTTCATAACAAAATTACAACATAAAATAGACCATGGGAGTAGCTGCCCCCTCCTTCCTTGAAAGCCACCTGTCTTCAAGTTAATATCAAGTTAAATGCACTTGATATTATCAAGTCAGTGAGTTTTTTTAAGTGACAATATTGATGACTGAGTTAGCAAAAGTCTGAGGATTGTTCTTCATAATAGATTCAAATTTTTGTTTGTTGC